GGGGAGCGGAATTGCTAGCGCGGCGGGGAAGTGGCGGCCCAGGAGGGGGCGGCTTGTTGGCTGCCCGGGGCCAGGCCTGCGACGCGCTTCCCTCCCTCCGCAGCCTAGCCTCCCGACGTTTGGCCCGGGCGGGGTGGGTCTGATCCCCGTTTCTCCAGTCTTTTTACTCCTGCTTTAGATTGAGTTCCTAATACCATTTTCGTTTGCTTCTCCAACCCTATCCCTCTGTCTATTCAGCTGAAGCTTCCCTTTCTGGGAGTTACTTAACCACCTCTCGAAACTGTCGTTCTGCCCCTTTCTTAATTCCTCTTATTAGGGGGAAATTTTCTTTGTTCGTTTTTTTCCTCCCCTTTAAGTCCAAGAGAAATGTAGTGTGGAAGATTACGTCATCGCAATATAAGGGGTGAGAGTTTTAACTCCTGCAAATCAGGGACTCACCCATTTAAGACAGCATTTTGCAGCCTTAGTTGCATATCCTTCCTGCTTCTCAACGCATCGTATTCACAGGTCTTTTCAAATCCCGGTCGTCTCAAATGCACCTAAAAGCCAGGAAGGTTTAAAATCTCAAGATTAGTTTGTGCCAGGGGATAAAGCGTAAGACAACACCTTCTACAGCCACTTAGGTAGGCAATACCTTTAAAGATCCCTTTGTACTCCAGTGAAGTGAGTTCATTTGTAGAAGCATCTCTGGCCCAGAAAGACTTTCCCAGACTGTTTAACGTCTCCCATATGACTTACGGATGCAGCGTGCCTACCTATGTTGACTCACATGGCTTTTTGTGACAAGGAAAAAGAATCAGTTGATTTTACCCCTAATCTTTGCTCGTTAGACACTTAGTTTTGTTATTAAAAACGAGTTTTGGATTTTTAAAAACATATATATCTTTATTGATTTCAGAGAGAGGAATGGAGAGGGAGAGAGAGAGAGAAACATCATCAATGATGAGAGAGTCATTGATCCACTGCCTCCTGCACGCCCCCGACTGGGGATCCAGCCAGCCCTGATGGGGAGTCGAACCCTATCTCCTGGATCCTTGGTCGATGCTCACCCGTTGAGCCACGCCTGCCGGGCGAGTTTTGGATTTTTAACTAAAAAAACTTGAGTAACGTTTTCAGACTTTTGGGATCATAGTATTCCCCAGAATGTCAGGTACATCCTTCATGGACTACAGGGTACTGTAGCACAGAAAAATGTTAGCATTGTAAAGCAAATGAGATCCAATTGTGTAATGCATTTTAAGAGTAGTTCTTGCTGGAACAAGTACTTTCCTATTGTTTCTCATTTGTATAGAGAGAATAAATTGCTTGTTAAGATACACTAAAAGAAATGGAGGTTTAAATGGGCTTTGTGTTTGGATAGGTGTGGAGCTTGGATCTTCTGAAATATGTTTGCCATAACTTATATCATGTTTTAAGACTATAAAGGAACACTTACCCCTGTTGCTTTATTTCTTGAATCTTCTATATTTAAGAAGTTTAAATGTACACATATCAATTTGTATCTTTCCTCTTAAAATATAGCGGATTAGTTTGAATTTACAGTGTTTAGACTGAGACAGTGAGATAAGAGATTGGTAATTAATTATTAAAAATGAGCTTTTTTCTAGTAATTTCTTCAGGACCTGAAACATATCCCATCCTCTTAAAATGTTTTCACATAATAATGAATAGTTGTACTCAGTTAAACTTAATTTTTCAGAAATCTAAGACAGGTGTTACAGCCTAGGGTATCCTGGGGGCTTAAATCAAATATCAGTGAGATTTTTAAAGCCCACCAAGACCAAGTCTTGACTCTTTTGTAACTTAAGATTTGTTTTGTTTTATTTGGATAATTTTTCTACTTATAATTTTACGGTCTATTAGAAAAGCATTTCTAGTTATTTTTAAAGTGGTTAACACTAATAAACTATTAATCCAAGAGCTGTCACATTTGGAAAACTGAGGTACAATTTACTGTGCCTGTCTGGGAGCAGTATTTATAGGTATTTTTAGAAGTAAAAGTTAAATTGTACTTTTATTTGTAGATACATTTTAAATGCATTTCTTTATTGTTTTAGGGCCTTTTTCCGAGAGGATAAGAAATGCTTAATGAGAAGCATTTCCAGCTTCAGGGCTTCTGCAGCAGGAGGAGGGCTTAATATTTTGTGAACTTATTTCTCTCAAATAGATCTGTATATCCTACTATATCAAAGGGCTTCATTCTGGACCTTCAATATTCAATATTCTCTTCCAAATCTATTACTTTCCTCTATTAGAATATAGGTTCTATGAGGGCAGGGCTTTGACTTGGCATGGTCACCCCTGTATCCCTAGGAATGTTTGTTGAATGAATTTGATGATGATTGAGGGTTAACCCTCTCTTTCTGTGTCTTCTATTGGCCTGTGTTCTGTGTTTCCTGAGACTTCTTTTGTGCTTGTGTAGCCATATCCAAATTTGGGCTCATTGAAATGATATTTTTGTTTGACCATATCCATCTGTTTGGTCCAGTATCTTTGCAGCTGTACTATCTGGGACAGTTTACCATTGCCTAGAAAAATCTTTTCTAATGATCAGTTCTTACACTCTTGAAAAATATTCCGACTTCAATGTTCGTTTCATTTCTCTGTTTCTTTGTTTGCAAATAGCAGCTTATTGTGCCACTTCTCTACTCGACAGTATCAAATTCCTGGTCATGTTATGCTTTGTCCCTTACCAGTTTCTACTTTTAGTTACTCATCACTTCAGTCCAAAATATTTTTGCTAAAGCAGTTTTCATTACTTGCCATTTCAGCTGTGTCTGCCACTGCTGCTGTTAGAGGTCCTGGATGTGAAAACTCTTCACTAGTTGCCCCAGGACATTGGGTCTTAAAATACTTGTTTTATTAAGTGAAACCAGGTGTTTTGCCACCAAAATGGTGCCCCATTAAATTTTTTTAAGGAAAATACTTTTTTCTCAAATATTTAAGTCCAGAACAGTTCCTAATATATAAAAAACCTACATATTGTTAAGACATGGTATTCACCAAGCATCAGTGGTCTGCCACCTGAAGAGAATCTTGTTTCTCCCTCTGCTTTAACACTACACTTTAATACATACCATTTTCTCCAAGAATAAGCCATTATGATTTGCCATTTTAATTCTGCTGCTGTGTGTTCTTTAGAAAAATACTGCTAGTATAATGATTAAAAGTGTAGAATCTGAAACTGGACTGCCTGGGTTCAAATCCTGGCTCTGCCATTTATTAGCTATGTGCAATCTAAGTAGTGTCTTAGTGACTCAGGTTTACCGTTTGTATAATAGGACTAGCAATGGTTCCTGCCTCACAGTGTTATGAGAAATCAGTTAATCTCTCTGAAGTACTTAAGACAATTCACTGGCACATAGAAGTGCTCTGTAGGTGTTTGCTCTTATTATTACAACTTCTCTTAGGCCCCCACTTTTAAGAAACTATCTGCGTTTTTCCCCTAAACATAAATATTTTAATAACCATCTCTTCCCCAGATTAATCTCATGAGACCGTTATTATTAATTAAAATTATTAAACCAAGTGGAAATTGTTGCCTGTTTTAAATTTTTGTCCATTATCTCAACCAGCTTCATAGAAGCAAAGGTGTAAGTTCCCAAGTATGCATTGTGTGGTCTGTGGATCAGCAGCATGAGCATCACCTTGGAGCTTATTAGAAATCTCAGGCTCCATCCCTGAATCGGAATCTGCATTTTAACCAGACCCCCACGTGATTTTTATGCACATTAAAGTTCGAAGTGCCTGGCTTGCGTGGGTCAGTGGTTGAGCGTCTACCCATGAACCAGGAGCACGGTTTGATTCCTGGTCAGGGCATATGCCTGGGTTGTGGGCTTGATCCCCAAGAGGGGGGCATGCAGGAGGCAACTGATCCGTGGTTCTCTCTCATCATTCGTGTTTCTCTCCCTTGCCTTTCCTCTCTCTGAAATCAATAAAGACGTTAAAAAAAAAAAAAAGAATAAAATCGTATCTCCAATCTCAAGGGAAGATGTTAGTACCAAAAATCTAGTCTATTTTAGCTGCATATTGAAAAATTATTGATATTTTTAAAGAACTAGATTGAATTTTTCTCTAATAACTTTTCCCTTTTTCTTAAACTATTTGGTGTAGGAGTAATTCACAGTGCTATCTCTTTGCTGTGTATACTCTAGAGTAGTGTTTCCTAACCCTTTTGAAATCAAGGCAGGCATAGAAAATGCCACACTATAGTAAGTGGATGAGACTGCTCTTGGCTGACTGGAGGTGCTGCAGACCCCAGGAGAGCTGTAGGATCAATGTCTCAGTCATATCTGTGTCCATTCTCTGTGTCCCAAGTGGCATTATGAAGCCATGTAGTGTTGGAAGTTAAACCACAGCCATCCTTTTTAGCTAAAAAGATTATCACTGTTTGCTATTCCTTGTAGAGACAGAAGGGATTGAGGACAGACCAAATGAGGAACAAATGAAACAAGG